TCTCTCTCTTTCTCCTCTGTTTGCGTTTCTCGCCTTAATCGCTCTACCAATCTGCCCGCACAAAAGGCATTCGTTCTTTCTCTTTCTCCCCTCCGTTGTTGGAGTTGACATCAGGCCTGCATAGCAGTTCGGATCGGCGGTGTTTGCCTAAATCTGCCAATCCCCCTCCCCCTCTCCACCACTCTACCGATCTCCTGACATCCTGCACATTCCACAGTTAGTTGGCAGGCAGGCAAAGCGCGCCAAGTTTAACTTGCCAACCAGCACTAGCAGCAGTAGACTTTGCCCGTGATTGCTCTCCGCTAGTAATCACGTAGAGAGATACACACTGTTGCCGTAGTTGTCTTTACTTTCCTTTTTCTTTCAGTTCTTTTAGATCTCCTTCTCCCACTCTCACTTCCACTACTACTCTATATATAGCGCTAATTAAAGCCTTTGTAGATGATGCGGCGTGTAAATGTGGGCCACACGCCCGCTCAGTTATCTTTAGCTACCGATTCTCACTTCTTCTTCTTCGTCTTCTCGCTGGCTGGCTGTTGATGTTTGCTGCCCGAGTCGGCACTGTTGGGTGCTGCTGCTGCTGCTCGCTCGTNCTTCGTCTTCTCGCTGGCTGGCTGTTGATGTTTGCTGCCCGAGTCGGCACTGTTGGGTGCTGCTGCTGCTGCTCGCTCGTTTTCAGTCAGTCGGTGCTTGAATCAAATCGCTGCCTTTTAAGGGCACCTCCAGCACTGGAGCAGCGAAGTAAGCCGTACAAAGTGGCTGAATGACTGGCTGGCTGCCTTGCTTCCACCAAAAGACTACAGGCACTGAAGCACACAGTGGGCCCTCTCTCTGACTGGCGATGCCAATCTTGGTGCGCTAGAAAGAGAGAAAGAAAGAGAGGATGCTGCCTTTGCTGCGGCACTGCGTGCATTCCACGCACATCGAATTCTTGCTACTGAGCGAACCAACAATTTGCGCTTTTCTTCTTTTTAATGAGCCCTCGCCCGTGAGCCAGCCAGCTCTGACGCGAGGACTACTGACTACTGCTTTTCTCGGGCTCGACCGTTCTTGACGTCTTTGTCGTCTCCGCCGCTTTTTGTTGCCTGCAACATTTCTGGGCCATTGTCGAGATGAACAGACGCACATCTGTTTATGACACGGGCAACTGGTGGCAAATGGTGGCAATGGCGAGCACCGAACGAAAGAAAGAAAGGGAAAAGTTGAAAAATGTAGAAATTAAGTGGAAGAAAAGGCGAGTTTGTTTATCAAAGTCGGAGCAGTCTTGCATATTTTTGTGGAAATTATTTGATGGCGCGGCGGAAATAAAGCAGGGGCGATTATTAGCGAGAATTGCATATTCTGTGTACACAAAAACAAGACACACGTTTATTTTCACTTGTAACTCAATGTCATTATTATTCTTACCCCCACAGACCGCGAGAACCAGTCTATGCTTATTACGTAAGTATTGACCGAAAAACAGCAAAAAAAGACTCTCTGTTTATCCTCTTCCTCTTCTTTGGTCCACCTTTAGTCTTTTTTAGAGAAACTAGATTTTTTAGCAACTTTAGTGGGAACAAAAAAAATGATTTTTTGACAGTCAGAACTAGGGAAAGAAAAAGTTTAGGGGCAGTTTAGTATCATTAATCAACCGCCACTTCTGACCAATTGAACTGTAACTGATAACTTACATTTAGCGGCGAGTCGGGTGCCGGTAAGACGGAGAACACCAAGAAGGTTATCACCTACTTCGCCACTGTCGCCAAGTCTGGCTTTAAGCATAAGTTTTCCTCCGGTGTAAGTGTTTGCTCTGTTTACCTTTTGCAGCTGTCTTTTCTATTTTATTGCCTGAATATGAAGAATGCGAGAAAGAGAGAGTGAGAGTGTGCCGATCAACAGGTGAAAAAAGTTGAGGTAAACCACAGGATAGTTAGGTCAGTTTGGTAGAGTCCTTAGGTGTCAGGTGTTTAGAACATCTCTAGAACATCTCATTCTTTTCCCTGCCCACTTCCCATCTCCCACTTCCCATCTTCCACTTCCCACCACGAGAGAGTCATTCTCACCGTCAGTACGTTTGTCATCCACTAACCGTAATTTCCACCCCCTGCAACACTCAACCCACCCACCCCCAGTGGTGAATCTGGTGCCGGTAAGACTGAAAACACCAAGAAGGTCATTGCCTACTTCGCCAATGTCGGTGCCTCCACCAAGCCTAGCGAAAAGAAAGGAAAGGTACATACCGTCCCCTGCCCCTATCCCTCAGACCCTATCCCTGAGCACAGCCCTATCCCTTAGCCACTCTGCCCTTCAATGTCTTCCTCCTTTTCCTCTTCCTCCAAAATCTCCTCTAGATCCTCTAGACATGCTTGTTCTCTGTTCTCCTCCCTCAGCTCCCTGAACTTCTTTAGTCCTCTCTTCCCCCGGACTCCCCTCCGGTCATTCCTCATTCTCTCTCTCCCATGTGTGTGTGTGCGTGTGATTGATCACTAATCGTACCACTAACACCCCGCTTTCTTCTCTCTCACTAACACCCTCTCTCACTAATCCTCCAACAACCACTTGTATTGACACTGTTTTGACTCACCTTCTTTCTGAAATTCAGGGCAACTTGGAAGATCAAGTCGTGCAGACTAACCCTGTGCTTGAGGCTTTCGGTAACGCCAAGACCGTGCGTAACGACAACTCCTCCCGATTCGGTAAATTCATCCGTATTCACTTCGGCCCCATGGGCAAGCTGGCCGGTGCCGATATTGAGACCTGTAAGTAAACTAAGTTTCCTCCTTGTGCCCACTCTGCTCACACTTTTTTACTTTGTCCTTTACTTTCGCAGATCTGCTGGAGAAGGCCCGTGTCATCTCGCAGCAGCCTCTGGAGCGATCTTACCACATCTTCTACCAGATCATGTCTGGTGGTGTTCCCGGCCTGACAGGTAAGAGCCAGCCGTGCCGGCTAAGTGTAGTTTAGTTTAGTTCACGTTTGTGAGTGCTGTGTGAAGCTCACTTGGTTGAACTGGACTTTCCAAATATTTCAAATATATACCGACCACTCTTTCTCTCTTAACGACCAATCTCCAAACACGAGTGTCCCACCCCAAACAAACTTAGGCCCTTCACAACCACTTTACATTGCCCCCCCCTTTCTAAATCATTTTCTTAACCTACCGTCTTTTTCTTCTTCTTCTTCTGCCCCCCATTCACAAACTATTTTTTTTGTTATTTTGATCTATCTTTGCTATCTCAATTTGCGAAAATCTCCACCAACTGCAGACAAACTGCTTCTTGGCGATGACATCACAAAGTTCTACTTTGTGTCTCAAGGCAAAACTACTATTCCCGGCGTCGATGACAAGGAAGAATTCATCATGACTGATGTGAGTAGTCTGCCCCTGTGTGTGTGTGTGGACAGCATTCGCCCGCGCGCCAGTGTGAAATTTGCCCCTTTGCCTCAAACGCCCCCCACTTTGAATCCGTTTGGCTGCTGCTGTTGCAATTCAAATCCAATGGCATCTTCCCGCTTTCTACTTTTGCCCCCATTGTTTTGCATGTGTTTGCATTGTCCCCACCATCCTTGCAAAGAAACATATTTCAGGTCAAACGAACACCATTTTTCCACATTACAACACATTGCCCCCCCTTGTCCACATTAGGTCAGTCAGTCTGTTAAAGGTCACCCCATTAGCTATTTGGTCCACATCGGTTTATCTCTGAGTCTCTACGAGTAAAAAACCCAGTTGACACAGAGTTCGGTTGCCACCATCTGGTGGATTTGTAGTAGTTGTTGTAGTAGAGACTAGCAGGAGTTAGCAGTTGCAATAATCGTTTTACCTTTTTTCCCACCTACTTCTCTCGCCTGCCTTCCAAAAAAAACTTCACTCTCCAACCTGTTTCCCTGAATGACTCTCCTCTATGCTGACCACCTTGTTTCCGTCTTGCCTTCCATGGACTTGATGTTCTCTCCGTTCTCTGAACTATCTCCACCTCCGCCTTTCCTTCTCCTTCAATTCCTTCAATTCCTTCAATTCCTTCTCCTTCTTCTCACTTCTCCACACCTTCGCCTCTTTTCTCCTATTCTCTCTCTCCTATCCGCCTGATGATGATGCCGCACTGCAGACAAACTGCTGCTCGGCAATGACATCACAAAGTTCTACTTTGTGTCTCAGGGTAAAACTACAATTCCCGGTGTTGATGACAAGGAGGAGTTTACTATCACCGATGTAAGCTACCACTATCTCTATTACTACTATGTTGCTTTGCTTTCTCAACTACCATTTCCTGCTCTCTTTTGCTGTCTCTAATATTTGACNCAATTCCCGGTGTTGATGACAAGGAGGAGTTTACTATCACCGATGTAAGCCACCACTATTTCTCTACTACTCACCTTGCTTTGCTTTCTCAACTACCATTTCCTGCTCTCTTTTGCTGTCTCTAATATTTGAAATGTCCTCGCTGTCAATATAATGCTTTACTGCTTCTTCAACTACTTCTAATCCTTAGTAGTTTTTTGGTGGGTGTGTGTGTGTGTGTCAGGTGACGTTTGTGGACAGCACACACACCCTTCCTTTAGTCACTATTTTGAAACTAATATCACATCCTTTCTGCCCTGCTCATTGAATTCCCCCCTTTCAGGAAGCCTTCGACGTGCTGGGCTTCAGCGCCGATGAGAAGTTCGACATCTACCGAATCACCGCCGCTGTCATGCACATCGGCTCGATGAAGTTCAAGCAACGCCCGCGCGAGGAGCAGTGCGAGCCCGACGGCATGGAGGAGGGCGAGAAGACCTCTCACCTGCTCGGCCTGAACGCCGCCGACCTCTACAAGAACCTGAGCAAGCCCCGCATTAAGGTCGGCAATGAGTTCGTGACCCAGGGCCGTAACGCCGCCCAGGTCTCCTACTCGATCGGCGCCCTGGCGAAGGCGATGTTCGATCGGCTCTTCAAGTGGATGGTGAAGAAGCTGAACGAGACGCTGGACACCCAGCAGAAGCGCCAGCACTTCATCGGTGTGCTCGACATTGCCGGCTTTGAGATCTTCGACTACAACGGCTTCGAGCAGCTGTGCATCAACTTCACCAATGAGAAGCTGCAGCAGTTCTTCAACCACCACATGTTCGTCCTCGAGCAGGAGGAGTACAAGCGTGAGGGCATTGACTGGGACTTTATCGACTTCGGCATGGACTTGCTCGCCTGCATTGAGCTCATTGAGAAGGTATATTTACACTTGTAGACTAGTGCTTCCTACTGTTCGGCTACTTATACCTTTGTTTTTCCCCGTTTTTCCTCCCCACCCTTCCCAGCCCATGGGCATCTTGTCCATCCTCGAGGAAGAGTCTATGTTCCCCAAGGCCACCGACAAGACCTTCGAGGACAAGCTGAAGACGAACCACCTGGGCAAGCACCCCAACTTCCAGGCCCCGAAGCCTGGCGCGAAGGGTGCCTCCAGCGCCCACTTCGCCATTGTGCACTACGCCGGCACGGTCGCCTACTCGGTCACCAACTGGCTGGAGAAGAACAAGGATCCGCTGAACGACTGCGTCGTCGACCAGTTCAAGCACGGCTCGAACAAGGTCCTGCAGATCATCTTCGAGGACCATCCTGGTCTGGGCGGCGGCGATGACGGCGGCGGCAAGGGCGGCAAGGGCGGTGGCCGCAAGAAGGGCTCTGGCTTCCAGACTGTCTCTGGCCTGTACCGAGTAAGACGCGCCTTTCTTTTTCTCTCCTCTTCTTCTTTATCATTTGGATAGGTTTAGGATAATAACTTCCTCTAAATTTCCGAATAACTAAACTAGTGCTAGGGACGTTAGAACTAGGAGACGTTTTATTTTATTTTGAATAGGTAAACTATGTAAACTAAGTATGACTATAACGGTTCTATCTTTCATCCAACCAACGCTTCCTCCTCATTTCCACTTCCTTGCCTGTCCGTCGTGTGTCATTTTTCCTATCCCTTGTGTGTGTGCTTTCCTCCACTCCTTCTCCTCCTCGATCCTCTACTCCATTCGACTGCATTCATGCCCAATGGTGGTGCACTGACTGTAGGAACAATTGAACAAGCTGATGACCACCCTGCGCCAGACGCAGCCCCACTTTGTTCGATGCATCATCCCCAATGAAACCAAATCCCCAGGTATCCTTTCCTCTTCTACCTTTTTCCAGCTTCTCTCACTACCAGTCGCACCTTCTGTCTCTCTGTCTCCTTCTCTCCACTGTCTGTCTGTCTCCGTGTGTCTCCATTCCCCTTCACACTCAGTCGATACTTCCCTTTTTCCTCCTTCTAATATTAAGCATTCCCCTTCCCCAATACTACTAGCAGCCCCTAGCACCCAACCACCACCCCCGTTTGTCTCCCCGTGTTTTTGCAATGCCCCCTCTTCCCCTCTATAGTGTTGGTTATCAGGTTTATCAGGTTATCAGGTTGAGAAAAGGGTCTAGAAACGGGTTTTGTAGTAATTTTTAATCTTTTTT